ATTCGGGGTGTTATACGTATGTTCCGTTCTTTCCGCATAAAGACACTTTTTCCCCCTTTTTGCAAATTCTTGAGCCAAAACTAGTTCGAAAAGGGAGACAAGAAAAAGTCAGTTTCATGTGTAGCTCTGTCACAATTGTTGTGTACTTCCAACTGAATGAAGATGATTAATTCATGGTTCGATGCATTTAATTACAAATAAACAAAAAAAAACACCAACAAATTGAACCAAAGTGTCGACCAATTTACTGGTTACGGATGGTAGGATGATGATGGTGATAAAACAGCATGTTGTTCGACATAAATACAAAGATAATTTGTTGTGTCAAGAGCACGATTTCTATCCCTAAAATGGGCCTAAATACCAACATCCAAGCCCCATGTTATAGGCTCTTTGACCTAAATACCAGCCAACCCACAACCCCTGAACTATTCATTATTATATTCTTAATTATTGAAATAATGATAATTTTGCATGACACAGCTACAACTGCAAATTGGAAAGATGTCAAAAGGAAATATATTAATTTATGTGATGTAAAACCCTCACATTATTGAGGACCAAATATATGGCTTCAGAAGTCAACGAAGAAAACTCCATTAGGTGACTGACCCAACTCACAGCTTTCATTACGTGTTATGAACTTATATATATATAATTCTTATATTATCATATGTTCACGTTATATATGAAATATTTTTATTTTTAGATTAATATCTACTCAGACTAGTCTTTATATTTTAATTTAATTCTCACTTTGTTTTTGTATAAATTTTCCTCAGTTGTTCATGTATAATTATTATATTCTTAATTATTCATTTGAAGTATTATTTTATCTTATCCGCTTCTTTAAAGATATTTTTATTAAAAAAAATCAAATGAGCCGATGAAAACATGTCATCTGACAAAAAAATTAAATTTTAAAAATAAAATATAAAAGTTATATGATTTGATTATATATATATATTTAAAATGTATATTTTTAAATTTTTCTAAAATTAAAAAAATAGTGAAAATCATTACAATGAAAAAAAAAGAAATTTATATTAAAAACTGGGTTTTTAAATGAATTTTCTATAATTTTTTTCCATTTTTTTTTTGAATCCTTATAATATAAAAATTAAAAAAACTGCTTAAATCATATTTGTACGTGTGTTGTTTAGATGGTCAACCATATTGCAAAAATTAAAAGGGTTTGAAATGAAACGAAGTTCGAATCAAGCTGGTTGTCAATTAACAACCACATCATATTTGCAGATCTTGGTCAGAATATTACACACTTTTGCTTCAGAAAATTACATCTAATGCTTCCAATAAATTCACGACAATCTTCCATTAGACTTTTATTTTTTAGGCTTAATTATAAAATAAGTGCCCAAATTATATATTTTTTTTCAAATAGGTGCTCAAACTTTTTTTTAATCATTCAAGTGTTTAACGTTACAAACTGTTACCATTTTAGGTGCTCTAGACATAACGGTCGTTAAAAAACTCATTGAGTGACATGTGTCATGCTTTGGTTTATTTAAGATAAAAAAACTCAAAAATATAATTTTATTTTTACAAAAAATGAAAATCTAGAAAAACTCAAACTTTGAAAACATTTATTCCAATGCCTATACCACGCCGGCCAACCCTATTTGTCGCCGTTATCATTGACGAACCTCTAGCCGACCGAACCGCCACCGATAACACAACCACCCAACAACATGGCCACCCGAAGAACCCCTAATTGACTATTTAAACTCAATGAACCCTAAACCAAAATTGCAAAATTGAAGCCTCCTAGCAACTTCGATGGCAACCACGACGACATGGAGAAGGATGGTTGATAATGGAGATGATAAGGACGGCTTCGACTGCGTGGTTGTGGCTGACAATATAGGTTAGATTAGGGATTTATGATTTTTTTTTTTGGTAACTTTAGTAAAAATAGGGTCTTCTATCAATATGATTATTTTTTATTTATTTTTTTTTAAATTTCAAAATTACCATAGCATGACATGTGTCACATAACGAAATTTATTAACGGTCGTTACATCCCGGACACCTAAAATGATAATTTTTGTAATGTTAGACACCTGGATGATTAAAAAAAGTTTTAGCACCTATTTTAATAAAATCTATTTTAAAAAATGTATAGTTTGGGCACCTTATTTTTAAAATAATACAATTTATTTTATAATTTTCTTTTGAGAAAATAAATATTTTTCTTTAAATTGAAGTATAAAATGCTAGCAACACATAGAATTTAAATGGAAAACAAGTTATAAAGAGAGTTCAAATATAACTTTATTTCTTGTTTTATTGAGTAAGCCTAATACACCCGTCAATCATAATTTAATCTTATCGTGTCCTGTTAATATATGTCTCTGATACATATCTTAACTAATTCGTGAATTGCCTTTATAAATTTTAGATCTTATTGTCAAGATCAAGAATAATTTTTAAGGTACATTGTACAATTTATTATTTAATCTTTTTTATTTATATATGATCGTTAAAGTTTTTTTTTTAACTTAATTATTAAATTTTTAATTTTTTTTACTTTAATCACTCTAACAGTATATTCTTAGTAACGTTATGATTGGATATTTATCTTTTACAAATTATAAAATAGACCCATAACTCTCTTCAATCTTTTATGAAAAGAACTCTTATTTTAGATTCGTTTTTATTTTTCGATGATGGAGTAACTTCTTTCAGATTCTAACGGTGAGGAGGTTAAGAATGAGAAAATTGATTGTAAATCTTGATTTCACGTTCATTGGACGGTGAGTATTATACATTTGAGTGGTTCAGGGTTTTATAAGTTTTTAGTTTTTAGTTGAGTTTCACAAGTTTTAAAGTGATTTGAGATAATATAAATTGATAGAGTGACAAGAGACCATAAGATGAGTTTGTCAATATCTTAAGTGGTTGAAGAATGATGTTTTCAGCGTTTGGGTGACACAATGATAAAGTTATAAAATTTTCATCTCCGAAAAATACATAATAAAAAATGAGAATGACGTGGATGTCATATTAGGAAAAAAAAAGTCCACATAAGCACATATTGTTATCATGAGACCTTTTCATTTTTTTTTTCAAGTAACACTCAAATTTTTAAAATAGAAGCAAAATAAAAGGTTAATAATTAAATTAGAAAATTTTAAACTTTAATGATCAAAACATGAATAGAATCAAAATTGAACAATGAAACTCATAAGTTATCCTAGTTTTCAAAGTTCTGCAAGTGATGTATTTTGCTTTTAATGCGAGGGAAGGAAATGGTCCGACATTGCAATATGGATTAGAGCAAAGAACATTAAATGCGGATCAGCTCCCAGATATTTGACCAAATCGGGGTCTTCTTCTTTTTTTTTTTTTTTTGAAGAATATAACAAAACGAAGAAAGCACGGTTAATTTATTTTTTATTTTTATAAATTTGTTAATTATTTGATATATGTGGTCAGAAGATGTACCCTCCCAAGACAACCGCAGTCCATGAAGAACATCTGCTTTTTATTAAAACCAGCAATTATTTCTAAATGGAATTTTTATTATGATAAATGTTAGGGACATTCTAAACGACATTATTTGCATAAACAAGAATAATCTTTAATGTAATGATGCAATCCATTCACCTCCTCTCTCTCTCATTAACTTTTGGATCCCATTAATAAAATATTAGTTAATGAATTAGTTTAACAACACTTTCATTTACTGTTAATTGAACATAAATAAATTTACATGTGTCTATTATTTTAATAAATACTTCATATATTTTTCTTAAAAGACAATCGATGATGGTAATAGATATAATTAGGTAAGATTGTTCATATAAAGGGTGAAACTTTAATTTATATTCCATTTTCACAAATGCATGTGAAGTAGTTGAAAGTTTGAAGGTAGGAGCGGGGGGAAAGGGTTGAATCATTTCTAGGATAGGAAATCACTATAGATAGAAGCGAGAAGAAAAGGAATCTGCAAAGTGATTTGAATTTTCAAATCAAAGAAATAATTAAAAAACAAATCCTTTAACATTTTTATAGAGCATGGAGATTGTGGATCCAGCATGCATGAAAAGCTGTAGTTTTGTTTATATTAATTTAATTCAAGACCCCTTCATGCTCGTATTCATGTGATGGGTTTAGAATAGAATAATGTTATCCCAACATTATCCTACTTGGGAGGGTGATGATGCCACGTGCCTTTTATCAAACGTTTAATCCAAATAATTAGTAGCTCTTTTAATCTAACCACACTATATTTGTCGCTTTGTGTTTCGGGGAGACCAACTAGCCGTCCTCAATTTTATTTTAACAATTTTAAAAAGATTTTTATTCATTTACATTATTAGAGCTTTTATTAAGACACCGCTTACATATTTTATACAGACAACTATATGAATTTAAGAATTTTTATACTAATTGGTCTAGTAGAATGAGATACTAGATTTCTTAAGCAATATTAATTTCGAATCGTAAAGATTACGAATCAAGTACACGAGTTGGAAGGATCGTCTTGCCTCTACAATATCTTATCCGGATTAATCAATCAATAAATATAATATCAGATTTTATACACAAGAAGTGATAGTGAACCCCTTCGTCGGGATTTCTGGAATGAAAGGGAATCAGTTTCCTGGAAAACTTGATCCACACCCATTCCTTGTCAAGTTGATGGTGATGTTAAAAACTTGCACGCAAAGACATTCAATTTGTTGATGGCTTGATGTTATGGATCGATAACAATAATAGGAGAGAGAGGTTGTGATCAGACCAATGCTAATTATTGCAGGGGGAAACCAGAATAATGAAGACACTTCAACTCAGCCCCAACAAAGGCTAGTAGTATGTCGAGGAAAAAGATAGTAGTAGATAGTCAGATGGAATCGCTAACATAAGATCATGCGTCTCTTCTAAAATTTAAACACGTTTGAAAACCGATCTTCCATTGATATACACGAGTTATGTACACTGTTACATTTGTGATCAATGACACTTCAAACAAAATCTCAGCCTCCAATGAGCTTTTGCTCATCAGGGTGGGACATCACCTCTTTCAAGTACATCAAATTAGTTTAACAAGAAAACGAAAATTTACACTTTCCAAGCAAACCTAACAACCTCTTAGAAATCTGTCTCACAAAATTTCCCATCCATCCGGTTCTGAACAGCTCGGACTGTGGCTACCCTAGCAGCAGTTGCCGCCCTATTCGCAGCCAGAACCGCCTTGTTCACTTGTTCATCCACCCTGCTAAGCTTGATAGCGTTTGCTGCTGTTTTCCTAGCAGCCTGCAGATACCCAGAAAACACAGTTAACTAAGGTTTAAACTTAACGATCAATCGCTTTTCATGGCCGATCAACAAAAGGTAAAATACCTGAACAGCTCGAAGGATTGCATCAGTAAGTGGGGGTAAAGGGGTTTTCAGGGTGCCGGAATCCCATTCACCACACTGCATATCACCACTTCGGAAAGTATACATGCCGTACCCTTGCTTTCGACCTTCATGCCACGATCCCTCATAACAGTGACCGTTAGCAAAGTGATACACACCGAATCCATGCATTTTGTCCCCAAAATATTCTCCACAATATTTATCTCCATTCCTACAACACCAACATCACATTCATGAAGATCATGGTTTCCTTAATAGAATAGACGTTGTTTACAGAGTAAGCCCAGAAAAAACTAAACAAAAACTCTACTAATAAAGAAACAAATTCATTACGAATATAGACAAAAACGATCTATCGCAAAATAAATACATAAATATAAAATCTAAAGAGAAATTTAAGCATTCGTAATAGTAGATTAATTCACTCGTCTTTCATTCATTAAATCCAAAAGACAGATAAGATCCGCAACTGAAAAAAAAACGTACTATTTTACTAAACGGGAAAAAAACAGCTGCAGAATATTAAAAGCAGAACAATCATCACCCTTCATCCAAAACTTAAAGCCAGGTATCGAAGTTAATGCCAAGTTATACTCTTTTTTATATGATTAGTTTTATCTGGGTCATACTGACATCAATAATTCCAAGCAACAGAGAAATAACACAAGATGTCCATAATCTCAACATACATTCAATACATCTACATTTAAAATCAATCAGAAATATTTACATGGAAATGTAGTACAATAAATTCAAGTTTATTTTGATACCTGAAATGATAATAGCCAAGTCCATGTTTAACCCCGGACTTGAATTCCCCAACATAGCAACTCCCATCAGCACAAGTTTGAACACCTACGCCATGGCTCTGCCCATTACACCATTCACCAGAATAAGTATCCCCTGTATAAAATCTATAAATCCCAAATCCATGCCTCAACCCTTGTCTATATTGCCCTCTGTATCTACTCCCTCTGCTCCAGCTCTCCACTCCATACCCATCGTATCTCCCATCCACCCAATCCCCTTCGTACCTCCCGTTCACGAAATAATTGTAAACCCCACTGCCATTACATTTCCCCTTGTGAAATTCACCTTCGTAAAAGTCTCCATTGCTATAGAACTCCACCCCTTCTCTTACAACCAGCTCAAGTCTTTCTTTTTCTTTGTTGTTGTTGTTATTGGTTTTGTTACAATGGGTTTCCCCAATGAACCACTGGACAGGCCTCGAATTGGGTTTCGAAGACTGGAGCCTTTCTTTGAAACATACAATGCCTTGGTTGATTAAACCTTTGTTCTTCGAAGCGACAAAGAGGGTAATAGCCACGAAGATCAAAGCTAATAGGAGGCATTCAGATCTGGGAATCTCCTCTCTTATGAGATAAAAGCAAAAGAAAAAGATGAAAGAGAAAAAAGAGATCGAGGCCATGGCAAAAACCGGGTTGAACCGGACCGGTAAAATCCTAGGTGTCATCGAGCACGACTTCTTTGGTGGCGGTTTCTTTCTTCTCTCGTCGTTCAGTAACGACTCTCGATGTTGTTGGTCGTCTCTGTCTTCTTGGTCCTTAATAAACTCGCCCTCGATGATGTATGACATACTGTGGATGGACGACCGTATGGTCGGAGATGAACGGAGCAAAGACGACGGAGTTCTTGTTAACTTCGCCTGGCTCTCCATTACTTTCCCTTCTTTTTCTTTTCGTTCCTTTCCCTTAAAAAAATTAACGGCAACCGTCTGATTCAACTAACTTTCACTTATCACTGGTCTTCTCTATACCGTGAGATTCTTATCAAAACCGTTCTCCTGTAAGCCGCCGGCGACATCTCAGGCGGCGCACGTTAAACCAGCACCATTTTGTAAAACCGTGCACAGCACAATCAAAAGAAAACTGGAAAAGAGAGGTTTCCTTTTTAAAAAAAACAAAATCGGTTTCTTTTTTCGATTGAAATGAGGAAAAGAGAATGGACGTGGAGAACTGGACCGGGCATTTTCGATAAATATATATGGTTGTAATAGGGGAAAGTGTTGATTTCAATTTCGGCCGTTGGATTGAAATGGAGAAGTCCCCGTCTCGACGGGAAAATATGGTCCTCGGATCTAGATTCGGCCTTCTATTCCCTTTATTGTGGCAAGCAGCGCGGCACGTGCCATCCCCTGTTTTCTTTTACAAATTTATATGTTTAGATTTTGGGGAACGCTTCCTCTGTATCACACCCCCGTAAATTAAATGACTCGCTACTCCCATCACCGTTTATTGTTTTGGACGATTGAGATTTGGAGGGTTTTGCTTTCTTGGAGCAATCGGCAGAAAATAAAAGATTACTTAAGATGGTCTAGTTGTTGTTCAACAACTGCTATTTTTATTTTTTATGTTGGAACTTTTGGTTGGCATTTGGGTGATGAAAAAAATGTAGAGACCCCCTGTTGAGCTAGGTCAAGTAACTGTTGATCATTGGGTAAGCTATAGGTGATGTTGGGTTGCTATGAGTTGCGGTAACACGCTTTAACTTTTCCTTACTACTTTTATATCATCTACACGAGTTTGTTTGCTTATATGTGGTGGAAGAGTATGTGGGGGATTGGGTTCTTTGTTGTTATGGACCCTTTTGTATTAGGTTGATGTAAAAAATTATGTATGATGACCCATAATTACTTTCATAACCTTTAATAATCAACTTAGACCTTAAAACAAGTGTTTGAATGAGTTTAGAGAGATTCTCGAGCAAAACATTGCATTTCTGGGCAACGATATCGATAATGGATGAATCAGTGTCGGTGAAAACTAAGTTTTTTGGGTATCAGTATTGATACTAGATGAACTGGTATCAATATTGAAGGTTATAATATCGATATTAAAAGCTCAGTATCGATACTGGTGAGCTTATATCTATACTAGATAAATTGGTATCCATACCGGAGGGTTGGTATCCATACTGGATGAACTGATATCTATACTAAAGATTGGGTATCTACACCGAAGGCTTGGTATCAATACCCAAAGTGGTTGAGTAACTTCAAGATGCCTAATAGATGCAAGAAAGAGGAGTTTAATATCGATTAAGATCAGGCATTTAGCTCAAGTGTGGGAGGTTACTAAAATGCCCTTAGAGGTTTGAAATTACTAAATTACCCTTATAGGGCTAAGAGAATGAAATAACTTATACGAGTAAGAGGATAAGTTGCATATTGATTAAATAATGATATGAGATGCTTAGCTCTATAATAAGAGCTTGTTCATGAAGACTATGTAAGAATAATATAAATGACTAATATCGGGGTTTTTGGTTGGGTAGTATCGATACTCTATTCATAGAGGATCGACACTATTCGTCGGGTATCAATACCCAAGTGTGAGATATCAATATCATTATGCAGTTACAAATTATAGTATCCAGAATTGATATCGTTACTCGGGGAGTATCGATACCGATTATAGAAGAAGTGTTGATACTCCACGTAGGATATCAATACTACAAGGCTTTCTTAAATCTCAGTAGCCAAATTTGGTATCGTTACCAAGGGTGGGTACCGATACTGATAGGTCATTATCAAAACTTAAGAGGTTTAGTATCAATATCATCATATTGATTTGAACAAGAAGCCTAACTTTGAGTCAATGACTCGGAAATGGGTCCAAGACCTCTGAAACCTCTCAATAAAGTTTACAAGTGAAGATATTGAAAAAAATTATGTGATAATAATAATAACCTTATGAAGTAAGATTCTATGAGACTTAAGTCTTTATTTGATACTCGGGAAACAACAAGGACACCCAAGTTACTTGTATATTACGATAACGTGCAAGTCGTCCCTCCAATTCAATGGTGAATTGAGGGAAGACATGATGAGAGCAACTAGAAAGTTAATATCGATTAACCAACCCGAGTCGGGTATTGGGTAAGTAATAATATACCAAGTGCGTAGATATGAGTATTTATTGCCTTGAGGGCATAAAACACTAAAAGACTAATAAACCCTTATATAACGTTCTAGATAAGAGAACGAACAAGATAGCAACAAATAAGGGATGACCTCATTTGATTGTGATGAACTATGTCAGTGAGTAGTTGAATTACCTTAAATGTCCTTGTGTGGCATTGTTTGATGTGTTTGGCCTATGGGCACCCTTGCATGTTTGTGTGTATACGAAGATTGACATGTTTGCTAGAAATATCTGGATATGTCTGAGTTAATGTTAAGGCACTTAAAATGTTAGTCGGGCATAGGCTCCGAATCTATGTAACCTCAGAGGCATCCTAAGTACTCTCGATGAGTATACTAGTGGATCGTAGGCTCAAATGCTGTGTAGCCCCAGAGGCATCCTAGGTACTGGCAGTAAGGGCATTTCTAGATGAAAATTCTGGTGCAAAGTGACATGGGTCTTATCTACGATACCTTGGGTAAGATAGAGGGGGTGTGCTTGTTTGTGCTTTTGATAATTGTGTGTTGCATATGA